TCACCTTGGGGAATTTGTGGCCATATTTCTTCAAATATTTTTTACGCCCTGTTCCCTCTCTCCTCTCATTTCAGGACTCCATTATATTTATATTAGATCACAGGTCTCAGCTGTCCCTTTTGGTTTGGCATTCTTCTTTCTTCTTTGTTTTCAGCTTCTGTAATCTCTATTAACCTGTCTCCATGCCCACTAATCCTTCCCTGCTGTTAGGTGCATCAATTCAATTAAAAAAGTCAATTCTGATACACATTTTTCAGCATTGCCATTTGGGTACTTCCAACATTTCCCTTTTTTGCTGAAATTCTACCTATGTTTACATGTGTTATTCATCTTTTCCACTAGATCCTTTGATGTATTTATAATATCTATTCAAAAGTCCACACCTGCTGTAGAGAATGAACAAGTGGACATGGTGCGGGGGAGGTGAGAGTGGGACAAATGGGGACAGTAGCTTTGACATATACACTGGCATCGTGTATACACCACCTTGTGTGAAACAGACAGCTAGTGGGAATCTGCTGAGCACAGGGAGCTCAGCTCAGTACCCTGTGATGACCCAGAGGGGTGGGATGGGAGGGAGGTCCAAGAGAGAGGGGATATATGCATACATATAGCTGATTCACTTCATTGTACACCAGAACCCAACACAACAGTGGTAAAGCAATTCCACTACAATAAAAAATGGTTTTTTCATCAAAGTAAAATTAAGCTTAATTATTAGTAGCTAAGAGCTAATGAAGATACCTGATTAACGTAAAAGGCTATTTCTATATCTGGTGCTAAACTAGCTATTGCTTTTTGTATATGATCATTAGAGATTAGTTAATTGTTACACTGTGTTTTTTTATGCTTATTTTATTTTATTTTATTTTCATTTATTTTTATTAGTTGGAGGCTAATTACTTTACAATATTGTAGTGGTTTTTGTCATACATTGACATGAATCAGCCATGGATTTACATGTATTCCCCATCATGATCCCCCCTCCCACCTCCCTCTCTGCCCGATTCCTCTGGGTCTTCCCATTGCACCAGGCCTGAGCACTTGTCTCATGCATCCAGCCTGGGCTGGTGATATGCTGTGTTATTTAATAAATTCAACCATACATACCCCCCAAAAAAGTCTGCACCTGCTAATTCCAACCTCTGTGCCATATTTCAATCAATTCTTTCAACTCTTCTCTCTCTGGTTTGTTGATCATATTTTCCTACTTTTTCTCATGATGGCTATTTTTATTATATGCCCAAAATTGTGTGCAAGGAAATAATAGAGCCTGAAGTTGATAAGACTTAACCCCAGAAAAGACCATGCCCATGGCTCTGTCGGCTGCTAACGTGTGGGTAGCCTGGCAGATGGGGCTCCAGGGAGGTAGGGCACAATAGTGAGTGTATTGACTCTTTGGAGTTGAACTGAGTTTGGGCATTGTTGGTAGCTCATTTGGTTCACATGCTTTGGGGAAAAATTCGGGCATTACCTTCAGCAGGACTTGGAGTCTGAGCCTCAGCGAGACTCTAGAGACCTCTCTTTGCATCTCTGTGCCCAGATGTCAACTTAGGGGATTGCTGGCAACTTCTATTTGCTTTGGCACCAATGTCTTCATTTTGCCTTTAAAAACTGGAAATCACTTAAATGCCCAAGAGAAAGAGAGTAGTTGTGTACATCATGAAAAACCAATACTGAATTAATTGTATGCACTGATTTATAAAAGAGCTCTGAGGAAAAGACAAATGCTTCACATATAATGTTAAATTTTTAAAAACAGAATATTAAAGTAATAAAAATTATATTAAAAAATTATGTATACATATGGACAGGGCTTCCTAGGTGGCACAGTGGTAGTAAAGAATCCATCTGACAATGCAAGAGACTCAGGAGACACAAGTTCGATCCCTGGGTTGGGAAGATCCCCTGGAAAAGGAAATAGCAGCCCACTCCAGTATTCTTGCCTGGGAAATCCCATGGACAGAGGAGCCTGGCAGGCTACAGTCCGTGGGGTTGCAAAGAGTCGGACAGGACTGAGCAATTAGCACAGCACACACATGGACACACACACATAGTATGTATGGACAAGTACTAGAAAGAAGTCCCTACAAGTGAAATGTGTGAGCCATCAGTGTGGTAAGATCCAGTGCAGCTTTGCCTTCATGCTTTTTTGTGATTTCCACCAACAATGCTAATCACACTGAGTATGCAGTAAAGAACAAACTATAGACAGATCTGAAATAAAAACAATTTCTTAGTCTAGGAAAGATAACCCAGAGCAGAAAGGAGCCAGCTAGCCTCTTCTCCCCTAAGGCCCAAACAAAAACAAACTAATTTAAAATACAGCAAGAGGACTGGGTTAGGAAGCAAGGATGAAACAGCCTTTGGACTGTCAAGGTTGTAAACCAAAGGCTGACATCAGAGGCTTAGAGAAGAATAAACTTAGAAAAACTCAGATGCAAACAATGTGGTTCTGCCCATCAGTTCTTCATTAATTGACAGCAATGCCGTGAGACACCTCAGAGTTAACCATCCTCATTTCCATCACTGTTATTATGGACTGGAACTGGTTACCAAGGGAAGCTGTGGAATTTTTCCCTGGAGGCCATTTAAAAGCAGATATAGACAACCACCTGTCTTCAATAATTCAGGTTCCATTGAACTAAATGACCCCTAAAGGTCCTTTAACCCCATGACTCTGGATTCCTGTGCTGATAACATTAAGAAAATCTTATGATCTTTTTTTCCTAATCCTTTACTGTGTACTCTCTGTTTACATTTTTTTCAGATTAGAAAGGGAAATGTCCTACAAGCAATCCGTTCATTTCTCTCCCTGACACGAGGCTGAAATTTCAGGCTTGCAAGTATCACTAGGGAATATTTCTCAGCTGCAGTCGATTATTTCTTCTTTCTCTGCCAGGTATCACTGTGCCCGGAGAGAATTCATTTAGCAAGGAAGGGGCTAGGACAGTGGGTAGCAGAGGGGTGAAACAACACGTCCAAGAAGCTAGGGGGTGGGCCTGGCAGGAAGAGGGGAGGTGGGCAGAATTTATGGAAAGTCAGTGACAGACACAAAGCAAGAACCTAAAATTGAAAATAAAAAGGTTAGTAAGGCATAGTTCTGCATTTGTGTGTGTGTGTACATTTAAAGTGTTTTAGAATGAAAGGTTGCCACTTGCAGCAATGTGGATGACCCTAGAGATGATCATACTAAATAGGTCAGACAGAGGAAGACAAATACCATATGATATCACTCATATGTGGAATCTTAAAAAAAGATACAAATGAACTTTGTTATAAAACAAAAACAGACTCACAGACATAGAAAACAAACTTAGGGTTACCAAAGGCAAAAGAGGAGGGAGGGATAAATTAAGAGTTTGGTATTAGTGGACACAGATTGTTACATATATAATGGGCTTCCCCGCTAGCTCAACTGCTAAAGAATTCACCTGCCATGCAGGAGACACAGGTTCAATCCCTAGGTCAGAAGACCTCCTAGAGAAGGTCATGGCAACCCACTCCAGTATTCTTGCCTGGAGAATCCTACGGACAGAGGAGCCTGGTGGGCTATAGTACATGGGGTCGCAGAGTCTGAAGGGACTGAACATGCACATATATAGTAGATAAGCAACAAGGACCAACTATTTACAGCAAAGGGAACTATATTCAATATCATGTAATAACTGATAATGGAAAAGAATCTGGAAAAGTAATATATATGTGTGTGTGTGTGTGTGCACGTGCATGTGCACGTGTGTAACTGAATCAATTTGCTGTACACCAGAAACTAACATGACATTGTAGACCAACTATGTGCGCTTAGTCACTCAGTTGTGTCTGACTCTCTGTGACCCCATGAACTCTAGCATGCCAGACTCCTTTGTCCCTGAGGATTCTCCTGGCAAGAAGCTGCCATGCCCTCCTCCAGGGGATCTTCCCAACCTAGGGATCGAACCCAGGTCTCTCACATTGCAGGTGGATTCTTTACCATCTGAGCCACCAGGGAAGTCCAATTGTTAGGGGAAGGACACTGACTGAAACCCGCTCACCCTGGACGGGCACCATAGTTGCCATGTGCATGAGTTGTTTTTACAACAGGAGGTCCTGGTAAGAAACACGAACTAATAAGCCACCACCAACTGGAAGAGTTCAGGAAAGGTCAAAAGGTGACACCAAGTGTCCAACCACCTCCCAGAGTCTTTCTCGCTGGTGTCCATCTTAGCTGAGCAATGCATGCGCCACCAGGAAGGATTCTGAATCAAATGATGGGACAACCCAGAAACTAATCTCATCACCATAAAACCCAAGACTGTGAGCCATATGGCAGAGCAGTTCTCCTGGGTTCCCTTACCCTCCTGCTCTCCGCCTGGGTGCCCTTTCCCCAGCAAAATCTCATTTTGCTTTTCCCAAAGCAAAATCTCTTGCTTTGTCAGCACATGTGTCTCCTTGGACAATTCATTTCTGAGTGTTAGACAAGAGCCCACTTTCAGGCCCTTTAAGGGGTCCCCCTTCCTGCAACACAACTATACATCAGTAAAAAATTAAAGTAAAAAAAAAAAAAGAGAGAGAGATAGTTACTTCTGCAGCTTCGAAGATACTGTCAACTGAAAAAAAAAAAAAATGCTTTAGGACACAAAATCTTACACCGCCCAAGCAAAGCTGTTATTTGGCCATAGCAACTAAAAATATTAATGATTCCACACCAAATGCTCCATAAGAAATCATCCCCAACTGCCAGAAAGGGTAAAATGCATCAGGCAAGATTTACATACTCTTACTCATAATGAGAAAGTAGTGAGCTTAAAAAAATAACGATGTGGTTATTTTTTAAAATTCAAAACTTGAATTTTGCCCCTCAATTTCTCATCTCTCCTAATTTGTCAGTGACCATTTGTGGGGTTCCTTTTGAGGACTGCCTTTTGTCCTACTTTGGGGTGTGATATGCACCCAGAGAAGAGAATGGGGCAGGAATTATTGAAGCCCCATTCTGGATCAGCATTAACAATTCATGGAGCTCATCTCCAGTTCCACCTGAGGTGCTGGGAAGGACACAGACAAGCGGCGAGGGCTTGCTTGTTCAAAGTGTCTCCTAGTCTGCTTTGAAATGCACAGTGGATCGGGGGCCAACTCGAGGTCAACACCTCGTCGTCGTTCTGTGAGCTGCCTGGCTGCTCTTCTGCGAGAGGAAGTGAAAAGAGAGACTGCACACCCACCGGGTGTCTGGCTGGCCGCTGAAGGGTCTTTTGAAATGCAAACCTCCAGAGCTGAGGGTTGGAAACTTGTCTTCTATTCAGGGCCAGTGTGACACACACAGGGGAAAAATAATCACCAAAAAGTAATTTAGGCTGAGTGGTTTACAAAGTGAGATGAATCAAAGGGTTAACTTACATTATTTAAATATTGAGAAGAGGGAATATTCAACATGAATAAGTGCGGGCAAAGGCAGTTCAGTTTCAGATGCAGAGTAGGTAAGGCGGGCTTTGGTACTTATACCTTCACCAAATATCCTGCAGGTCCAACAAATGGGTCCATATCAAGGCTAGCCTAAGGCAACGTGTCCTCCAGGCAACATTAACCTCTTCTGGCTTCTGAGATGCCAAAATCTTACTTTCCTCTCCTTTCCTAAACTCTCCTCCTCTGAGTCATTTGCCAAAGGGCATGGCAACCCACTCCAGTATTCTTGCCTGGAGAATCCCATGGACAGAGGAGCCTAGGCGGGCTATAGTCCCTGGGGTCACAAAGAGGCAGCCACGACTGAAGTGACTTAGCACACACCTCCCCATCTCAGACCTGGAAGTTGTTGGCTCCTGACTTCGTCCTGAGTCTGCTTTGATTCCTCCCACATGCCTTCTACCTGGACTATCCCTTTTCATGCCCTGATTCCTCTCCATGTCTAATTCGTTTTTTTTTTTTTAAAGCTCCAGGCCCAGTTGGAAGTTTGATGTTAGCAGATGCAAACAGGTCTATATAAAATGGATAAATAAGGTCCTACTGTATGGCACAGGGAACTCTATTCAATATCCTGTGATAAACCATAATGGAAAAGAATATTTAAAAATATATATATCAAAAGAATTTTGGAAAATTTTCAGCAATTAAAGATGAAAAGCAAAAAATTTTCTAAAATAAAATAAAACAGATTTGTGGTTGTCAAGGAGGAAGGGGGATAGAGTGGAGAACAGGATTAGCAGATATAAGCTATGATATACAGAATGGATAAACAATAAGGTCCTACTGTATAGAACAGGGAACACTATTCAATATCTTGCTGAAGTGGAGCAGGATCCTACAGTCCTTCCCCGCCATGTCCTTGGCCTACCTTTTGTCTGTGGGAAACCTTTAGTCAAAGAATAAATTTAATCAGAGAAGTGAGAAAATGAAGAAACAAAGCATTCAAATAGGACTAAAAAATAAAAATAATAGTTTAGTCATTAAGCAAAGTCAAGGACCTTTAGTTCCTTCTCAAGGGCTAATATTCTGAGCCATATCCTGTGAGCTGTCTTGTAAATACTGAAACCCCACCAGGTGGAAGAAGATATTAATAACTGCATGATGACCAGACTGTAGCCATGATGTAAGCTGTCACAGTCCCAAGAACTGGCCTCAAGGAAATGGGAACAATCCGACCCTGGAACAGAATACCAACTGTATAGAAACAATCGAGATGACACTGGTTACACTACTGATGACCAGTTTCAAGGCGACCATCAGAGCTGACCACGCTGTTTATACATGGAGCCCGCTCCCTCTGCCTATAAAGGTTCTTGCCCACTGATTGGGGTTGGGGAGGAGTCGGCCTTTGGATATGGGGCCGCTGCCCTTGGCTGCCAGCCTCCAAAATAAAGCAAACTTTTCTTTCCACTAGCCTTACCTCTTTATTGGCTTTTCAGCAGCAAGCAGGGGGGGACCCACTTTCGCTATCAGATTTTGGCGCCAACGTGAGGCCGCGCTCTCGCGATATCTGGCTCCCGGGGTTTTCTCCATTGGTGCTGCTGACATGACGATATGCTGGGAAGGCTGTGAGGAGCCTGGCTGGCCTCAGGAGGAGGTTGGGGCAGGGTATTCCTAGCAGCTGCCTAGACCACTGGTTTCGGGGATCCTCCCTGTTTCTCCGCTGCTGGCCACTGGCTGCCCATATGAGCTTTTCCTTGGTGGAATGAGAAGACATCTCTGGACAAGCTGACGAGCTCCGAGACCCTGTAAGTTCACCAGTGCGCACCTGGCAACTTCTCTTTTGAGCTCAAAGTGCTATTTGGGTGTTTTGCCAGTTGGTTCTGACGTGTTTCTGATGTGGAGGCCCGTTTGTATTGGGAAGTACACTTAGAGAACACTGGCTAGATAAAATGCTGTTTTCAGAATTTTGACCGCAAAGAGAACAAAAATATGCCTAGGAGAAAGTTTGAAGTTAACTCTTAAATCATGTCCTTGAAATGTTAATATAAACACAGTCCACTCCTCGTAAGAATTCAGCCTTAGGTTAACTGGTAGAACTTCAAGAAAAGGGGAAAAAAGGTGGGGGGAGAAGCCTTTTAAACTCAAGTGAGTAAATTCAGTTTATTCCAACTATTATTTATAAACTGATAACTTCTCTATTGAAATATCTGGTTTGAGATTTCTGTCTGAATATTATATGTCTATATGTAACATTGTCCAAAATGAAATCAGAAGCTTTTGGATAAACTCTTTGAAAATAATTACGTTTCAGGAATGTCTACCTAAAAACAGTTTTTTCCAGATTTTTGGTGACTTAAAACCTTACAGTTTTGCTAAATTAAGTTAAACTATGAAAACTAATTGAATATCTAAATAATTTTTAAGACAAAATACTGGAACTTTGCTGAACAAATGTAAGTTTGCCTACTTTTGCCTTCTTACATGTTAAGTCTCTTCAGTCATTTCAGATCCATACGGAGTGTAGCCCGCCAGGCTCCTCTGTCCATGGGACTCTCCAGGCAAGAATACTGGAATGAGTTGCCATGCCCTCCTCCAGGAGATCGTCCCCATCCAGGGATCGAACCCATGTCTCTGATCTCTCCAGCATTGCAGGTGGGTTCTTTACTGCTAGTGCTGCCTAGGAAACCCTTAGGAGATAAAAAAAAATCACTAAAGATGTTTAGGTTTACTAAACACATATCGTGTACTACATTAAAGAGAACGTATGCTATGTGGGGGAAAAAAGTATGTTTTTAGAGGTTATGCAGTATGTTCTTAAGTTTGCCAATCAGTAAATGCTGGTATAATTGTTCAATTACTTGATTCTTGGTTTTGTTAAGACTTTTAAGGACTAAAAATTATAATATATAATTAAAGCTACTAGAAATGACAAGGGAAGCATTGCAGTGTGTAAAGCAACTAGGATATGTGTTGCAAGTGAGAGAAGGTATAAAGAATGGAGATGTTTTTGTTGCAGAAAAACGATAATTTTGTCATAGAGCCAATTGCTTCTGGATAGGGAAAAATAATGGAAAAACCATATGGATACAAAAAGTGATATAAAGTTTGTAAAAAAAAGAGAACTTTGAGAAAAGAAATTTGTATGTTGTCAGGAGTAATTAAGATCAGATTTAATTAGGTAAATGAACTTTGTTATTAATGGTAATCTGGTTTAAGACTGGAATTTGGTTTTCTTTCTTCCTATTATGGGAACAAAATTTTCCTGGAATATTGAGCTGCTTCTGATAAAAGATTGTAAGTTTCTTTCTCTAGCTAATTTTGAGTATTCCAGAGGGCCCCAAGGTAGCTATTAATAAGAAGCAATATTAAAATACCTAGGATTTTTGGTATGTTAAACTATTTGGAACACATTTGATAAGTTTCAGACCATACTGCTGAACTGGGTAAGAAAGTTAAAGAATACTAATAGAAAGCTATTGTTTTGCTTCCGAATATATTTTTGACTCCAATGTTCAGGATGCAGAAATTGTCTAGTGACGTTATCACGAAGTATAATTACTTATGATGTATATCATTGCTGGCTTTAAGTTCACCGCTAAAAGCACACATACATTGTTTGTGTCACAACTGTGCATAAGTGATAAAATGTATGCCTATGAAATGTTTCCCTGTTAACATATCTCTCTGTATTTGTTTGTTAAATCTGATTAGTTTTCTCCCAACATGGATAACTAGGCCAATATTTAAATAAAAAATTGGCCTAACACCAAGGGATATGAATGGCCCCAGAGCAGGAAACTGAGTCACTCTGGCAATGATGAAAAAATATGTTGTTTATCACTTTTCTGTGGAAAGATTTGCCATTATTAATAAAAGGGGAAAATGATGAAAGGAAATTTCACATATTGAGGTATGGAAAAGTCATTCTGGTCTATACATGACTTAGTTGAACTTCAGACTAACCAAACAGCCTCCTGGTGGCCTATTAAACACACATTGTAACACTGTAAATCAAAAATTAAAAAATAATAGTAAGCAACACTCACATACATACATTGTACCTCTGTACATTTAACCATTAGGGAAAAATACATTCAGAGAATAATACAAAGATGCATTTTGGTTGTTATACTTATTGTAATATGTCTACTAATTTTCAAGCATTTGTCTAAGTGCTATGACAAGGTAATCAAAGAGAGGTCATGTTTTCACAATACAAAATATTGATGCTAAACTTGGAACTTGAAATTATTTCCAATTCTGTGTCCATTCCCCAAATTAGGTAGGACTGCATCCCATTTCAGCAGAAAGTAACCAGAGCAGTCAACACCCTCAAAGACTTGGGGAATATTGGAACAGAAGTGGAACTAAAATTGAGTTCCTCTGCCAAGTTTAGGATTAACTTAATGTATCAAAAGCTTGATTCCATTTCTTGTTCAGTACCCATCCCTCCTCAAAATTGAGATTTAAAGAAAAGGGAGAATTGAAATGGAGCAGGACCTTACGGCTTTGCCTCCCATGTCTTTGGCCTGCCTTTTGTCTGTGGAAAAACTTTAGCCAAAGGATAAGTTTAATCAGGGGCTTCCCTTGTGGTTCAGCTGGTAAAGAATCCGCCAGCAATGCAGGAGACCTGGGTTTGATCCCTGGGTTGGGAAGATCTCTTGGAGAAGGGAAAGGCTACCCACTCCAGTATTCTGGCCTGGAGAATTCCATGGAGTGTATAGTCCTTGGGGTCGCAAAGAGTTGTGTCCGACTCTTTGTGACCCCATGGACTGCATGGAATTCTCCAGGCCAGAATACTGGAGTGGGTAGCCTTTCCCTTCTCCAAGAGATCTTCCCAACCCATGGGGTCACAAAGAGTCGGACACAACTGAGCAACTTTCACTCCCTCACTCAAGTTTAATCAGAGAAGTGGGGAAAAAATGCAGAAGCAAAGGAAAGCAGTCAAACAGGACAAAATATTAGTATAGTCATTTAATAAAGTCAGGGACTTTTAGTTCCTCCTCAAGGGCCATAGGTAATATTCTGAGCCATATCCTTTGAGCTGTCTTATAGATACTGAAACCAACCCCCACCAGGTAGAAAAAGCTAACTAACTACATAGTGACCAGATGGTAGCCATGACATAAGCTGCCTCAATTCTGAGAACTGGCTTCAAAGAAATGAGAACAACCCTGAAACTAAATATTAACTGTATTTAAAATAATCAAGATGATGCTGATCAGACCACTACATGACCAATTTCAAAATACTGTCAAAGCTGTCATTCAAAAGAATACATGCCCCCCAATATTCATAGCAGCACTATTCATAATAGCCAAGACATGGAAAAACCTAAATATCCATCGACAGATTAGTGGATGACAAAGATGTGGTACATGTATACCATAGACTACTATTTAGGCATAAAAGAAAAAGAAAGAATGCCATTTGCAGTAACGTGGATGGACCTAGAGATGATCGTACTAAATGAAGTAGGTCGGAAAGAGAAACAAATACCATGTGATATCACTTAGATGTGGAATCTAAAATATGACACAAATCAACATATCTATGAAACAAAAACAGACTAACAGATACAGAGAACAGGTTGTGGTTGCCAAGGTTGGCGGGTAGAGGAGGGAAGAATTGGGAGTTTGGGATTAGCAGGGGCAAACTATTATATATAGAATGGATAAACAGGTCCTACTATAAAGCACAAGGAACTATATTCCATATTCTATGATAAACCACAGTGGAAAAGAATATAAAAAAGAATATATATGTGTGTATGTGTATGTGCTAAGTCACTTCAGTCATGTCCACCTCTTTGTGACCCCAGGGACTGTAGCCCACCAGGCTCCTCCATCCATGGGATTCTCTGAATACTGGAGTGGGTTGCCATGCCTTCCTCCAAGGGATCTTCCCAACCCAGGGATCAAACCCACGTCTCTTATGTCTCCTGCATTGTCAGGCGGGTTCTTAACCACTAGCACCAAGGGTATAACTGAGTCACTTTGCTGTATGGCAGGCATTAGTGCACTGTAAATTAAGTGTATTTCAGTTAAAAAATTTTTTGAAGACAGATGACTCCTCCTATAAAAGCTCTTGCCCACTGATTGTCAGAGGTGGGGAATCAGCCTTTGGACAGGACATATTCTACCCTCCTCCCCAGTTGCTGACCTCAACTTTCCTTATCAAACTTTCCTTCCCACCAGTCTTGTCTCTTTACTGGCTTAAAGCAGTGAGGAGCTGGACCCCACTTTTAGTAAAACTTTCTCAGTGAGTGTAGGTCCATCTACTCCATTTCAAAAATCAGAACATGAGGAGTCAGTTTTGAAACTTCTCTGTCCTCACCTCCTGTCTATTGCATCTTCAAATCCAAAATACTTCTGCCTTCTTCTGCTCCTAAAGCCCCAGCTGCCAGCATCTCTCTGTCCAAAATGGCAATATGTTATTATCCAGTTTCTCTGAACCCATTTTTGGCCCCTCCAGTTGATTCTGTAGGCATTAGCCAGGGTAGGTCTCTGCAAGGCAAAGCAATGCCTTCTAATGCGTTTAGGATAAAGACTGACATCCTATCGTGGCCCACACAGCCCACCTCTGCAGCCTCACCTCTAGATGCCTCCCGCCCCCTAGGTGTAGTCTGAAAACCACACAGGACTTGCGTTTCCTCCAGCTCGCCCAGCTCCTCCTCATGTCAACACCTTCAGAAGGGCTCATTTTCTCTGCAAGCGCCTGCTTTCTCCCAGTGAATCTGCTGAGTCAATTTCCTTCATCCTTTCAGTATCAGCA